TCTAGATAATCTTGGATTACCGCTCGATAATCGGCTTCAAAGCGCCTGTCGCGCTGGAATCGGCTGTTGAGGGATGCGAGTCGTTTCATCGCCAATGCCTTGGATGATCCGAGCGACGGAAACTTTTCGTTGAACGGGAGAGCGACGATGTATCGTCCTTCGCTGGTGCGTCGGGTATGAGCTCTGTAATGATCTTCGCATCGTCGCTCTGCTTCTGAGATGTGTTTGATCGGGGGTCCTTCGTCAATTTCCCAGAACCGCGCAAAGTCTACTTGCAGGGCCGTCGTGGATGTGTGAAAGGTGCTTGTTGCGGTTGAGGAAGTTGGACTCCCCCCGATTACCCAGCCGAATCGTGTCTTTTGCAAGCGCAGTTCCGGTTCGTCCGGTCGCGTCAGGTTGATTTGTCCGACGCACATCGACGAAAGAGTTGTGCCCGAGCTTAATAAGACATCGATCGGGGAAGGCACATGAAATCGAGGATCGGCTAGCTTGATATTCCTGGGGATGTTAAGCGCCGAACGATCGATGGGTTGACTTGGGATCAGGTGCGTTATGGCTGGAATGACGAGAAATGTCAATGTGCATTCGTACTTGCCGTCAATGGAGGTAATCGTCGCCCTTATGAGTCGCCTTGATGTCGTCGTCAATAAGCTCCAATTGGGGCCGAACACTTCCTTTGCCTTATTCCGAGGGTGTTTGCAAGCCTTTGTGTGATGAAGTTCATGCTGGATCCGGTGTCGAGGACTGTGATGAAATTCATGTTGGATCCGGTGTCGAGGAGCGCACGGCACTAGATCGGTTGCTGTTTGTTGGTTAGCATGTGGACTTGGGCTGTAGTCACTATGTCATTATGCAATACTTCGGAAGCTGCTGGTCGGGTATTTTCGGTCCTTGTCGGAGTTCTGGATTTTTGGCTTCATTGGTTACGCGTATGTGTCCGTTTCGGTCTGTCGGATGAACTGGTGAGCGAGTTCGTCCGGGTTGTCCCCGAATTGTGTTTCTTCGCGGTTTTCCGCTTACCTGCAGGTGACGGGGGCGATGCTGTTCCCCTGCTTGACGAGAAGGGACTTCGGCTCGAGGTGGAGGAATTCGACCTCGACGGCTGTTTTTCCGGATGTAGCAGTGTGTGATGTCGTCCTCCGCACATTCGACATGAGCCGGCGTGACAATCACGCGCTATGTGCCCCTTCTTCAGACAGTTCAAGCATAAAGACGCCCTTGTAGCGTCCATTAAGCGTTTACTTACAGTTTTGGCCTTGAATGAATCGCATCGCCAGACCGGGTGTTGTCCCTGACAGGTAGGGCATGCTGGAGTAACTCGTGGGGCGCGTTGACGGGTCCAAATGGTTTGTCCCGGTGAAGCTCTTGGTTGTTGAACCGTGAGAATCGGTATGGAGCTCCATGCTAATTTCTCGAGGAATTTTAGCAAATGACTGTACTGAGGCACTTCGTGGTCAGACAGCATCATTTCCCATTGTTTTTGGATACTTAATGGTACTTTCGACAAAATGATGCAGTTAAGTAGGGCACTGTTATCGGGGTTGACTTGTCCTAATTTGTTTAAAGCACATATATGTTGCTTAATAGTGTGGGCTAAGCGCCTTAACTCCGTTGGAGACTCGTTGGTTAATTTGGGGTAATCAAGCATTGACATGCAATGACTGAATGCGGTGTATCGTGGACATTCGAACCTATCCTTGAGAACGGTTAGAGCCTGACTGTAATTTAGATTGTTAAGGGGTAACGCGTTCAAACAATCCGCCGCCTTTCCCTGCAAAGCGGACTGCAGGTAATGGAATTTCTGTATGTCCGTGAGATTGGGATTTTGATCTCTTGTAGATAAAAAAGTGTCGTAGAATGTGCTCCGCTTCTCTAAGCTTCCGTCAAATGTAGGAAGCCGAAGATCTGGTAATTTGATCGCTACTGGATTCGAGGTCGCGGATGAATCGCCGCTGGGGTTACTTACAGCTGTCGACGGGGTCGATCGTTGCTCATTATGTATCAGTCTTTCCAGGCGAGCTCCCAAGGCTAGGTAGGCGCGTGCCGTCTCTAGTTCCACCGTTGTGTCTTCTTCGCTATGTTCGGTTACCTCATCGTGGACGAGTCGGAACCGTCTCCATTCTTCTTCGAGTTGGGTTTGATATTTTCTCGCGAGGAAAACGTCAAGCTCCTCAGCTTGCTGATACTGATCAATGTCGCGCTCCAGAGCCTTGATGACGTCGATGCAGTTGGTGCGTTTTTGCCGCATAGCATTGAGCTTTGCTGGAGTCGGCATGCTTAGTGATGTAGATCAACTTACTTGTGTTGAATCTTCTAGTGGAAGATCGTTCCGCTCCGTCGGGGCGATGCTTGGCTGCGTGCCTCGACCAATGGGTTATGTTTCTTCGAAGGTGACGCTCCTGACGTCACTGACTTCGATGGCGTGATACACTCTTGTTGCTGGACACACTATGGACACGTGGCACTGTGCAGTCACTTGCAGTTTCACTTTTCGTTGGCACGTGATCCGGCTCGAAGGACCAAATGTTTTCGCACGTTCGCGGGGAGACGCGATCTCGAAGAAACGCGCCAACGGGAGTCGTAAATTCCCGTTACGATTTGCTAATCGACGCCGCGAATCGCTCGATCCCTTATTTCGTTTAGGATAATAAGGGTAGTTAAATGAAAGATAACGCTGTTGCTGACAGGTTATTATATATTTTCACAAACCAACAACTTA